AAGTCGAAGTAAATTGAGGACATGAAAAACATCAGCGCTGTGTTTAAGAGGGACAGGATCGAGGCCGAAAACAACATTTCCTGATGTGTGTGGGAAGGGCAATGATGCTCCACAGATTAAATTATCAGTAGATAACTGTCATGTGTTGGGCGGTTGCTTTGAGTACAGGACGAAAGGTCAGCGTTGTGCCTTTCTAGGGTACTTCCTGCTCGGGTCCAGTGCGCTAGCTTATTTCACAGTAGCATGTCTGTAAGAAAACAAGACGAATCAGGATACGTGATCGTGTCAGCAGCCTCTATGTGGGTCACAGCAGGTGTGAAGTTGGTCTGTCAAGCAGGCTAAGCCATTAAGAGTAGGCTGAATATTGTGTGTTGTGGGTAACGAAACTGGAGGACATTTATATTTTTGGGTTTTTAATCATCTGTGTGACATTACCTGTAATACTCATAGGTTCTGCAATTTTATTAAAGTGCAGATTATTTGTATGTGATACCCGCTACTAAAGTGGTCGGTAGGGTTTGATATGTTTAAGTATGTAGGAGCGGCACATAATGATACAGTAGTGTGTAATCGAGCCTAGTAACCTGACCTGCTGTTTCTTCATTCACAGAAGGAAAGAAAAGAAGGCTTCTCCCTGGCTCCTATGAGGGATGACCAGAGCTACACAGGTGCAGTGGCTGTAAACAGTGTAGGTTTAAACCAGACCCACGCTGAGCCCCTTCTCTGCAGCTCCAGCAGCAGCACTCTCAACTGACAGGGACCGGGGACGCACTTCGCATGCTCGAGAGCAAACTTAATGGGGATGAATGCTGCTGTCACGTCTCAAGACATCTCCCATCCAGGTAAGGCAACGACACTTTTACTTGGCTGTTAAGTTACTACATTCATTTGCGTTACCACTTTTCGGTATTGGTAGGGTGGAGGGCAATTTATGCTCCTGTCACCGACTCTGCGGTTTAAATGCATCGCTTCTCCCTCAAATCAAGGTCGAAAGTCTCTCCAGCAGGCAACCAAACTCCAAGGACATGCCTGCGGAGCCAAATGAATTTGGGGTCGTAGAACACTTCATGCTAGCTGGCGCGAAGCAACGTTAGAGCCAACATCATGTTGAACTCACTGGAGTCGGTGTGTTTTGGTCGGGTCGATATTTGCATGGCTTCGCGGTCTGTCGTTGGCGCTGTTACGTCGTGCTTTGGCAGCTAGGTTTTGGTGTGTGGTGTGTGTGTGTGTGATGTGGTGTTAGGGTCGTAGGTTGCTGCTGGACACGCGACTGACACGGCAGCAACCTGTGCCGGCACTAATGTAGCCTAATGCTGAAGTTGGCCGCGTGAAGGAAAAATGGCGTGGTAATTGGAGATTTACTCTGGCGGGGTAAATGGTTAAACAGTGTGAACCCGTGGTGGCACTGGCTTTCCACCGACCTGTGCGCTACTATCATCGTCTGGCTAGCTAGCTTTGTTAACAGATTTGATGGAGTGAAAATGTGCAGCTTTGTGTGTCGGGGACACAGAGCTGAATCGGCACAGCTCGGGACAGGGGTGGGAGGCAGTTGCAGTAGACGCTAGCCAGTTGTATGTTGCTCTGGTGTGTTTGCTGAGCGCCAAGAGTGAGAAATAAATCCGTTTGAATCGCAGTGCAGGCAACGGTTACCTGAGACCCTTTGGTGGTCCAGTTTTGAGAAGGGTACGCAGTTTAGTCATGTCGGCCCCAATAAAGCTTCCCTTTTAAGGCTAGATAAGCAGCTCTCTTTTCCATCAAGAGACCTTCACAGTATTAAAATGTCTTTCAAGAGATACTCTCAAGTCTTGGTGGTATAAGGTGAGTATGCAAAACGTTGTGCATGTTTTCTGGGCTGTGCATACTGTCTGTGCGCTGTATGGCCCAAATTGAATCGGAGCTAATATGTTCGCAGTCGGATTCATGGGTACAGTACAGCGAGCTGTGAGTTCCTGTACAGTTATGCAGAAGAGAAATCTGTCCACCACTGGGTGTGGTAGAGGGTCCCGCGCGAGTGTTAACGTCCAGTGTGTAAAGAGTGGTAGGGAGACCGTGAGTGTGGCAAAATGGATATCGGAACCTATTCGAGTGAAGTGTCTTGTGTCGGATTAGGTCATAATAACCTGGAAGTAACCTGCAATACAGGAGTCACTGGTTTTTCGGTTCCCACACACATGAGGCAGTTTTATCTACAGATTGGCGCAGGTCACCTTCCGTGGATCCGCCATCGTTGAACGCGCCGCAGTGTTTCCGTTACAGTAGGCCCAGGATGGACAAATCAAACACTGGCTACAGATAGAGCATTTTTCGCAAGTTTCTCGGCCTGTGTAGTTTTTCCTGCGCACTTCGTGGCCCGTTCTCATTCCCAGGTTGACAAATGCAGACGCAAGCAGCATTCGGTTGGTTGCAATCCGCAACTTCACCGCTAGATGCCACTAAATCCTACACACTGGTCCTTTAACAGCACTTAGGTTTAAAGGTTGGCTAGTTGAACTTAATGGCAGCTAAGCATGTTACTGTAGGCATATATATATATACTCAATGCTGCCTTGCCTCCCTTTGCATGTATAGACGTTGGGTTAAATGTACTAGAAACTTAAGGCTTTGGATGAGTAAATCTCTGTTTAAAACCTCAAAGAGGCCTTTGACCAGTTACATTTATTTTGGTCTGGATTCAAGTCTACCATGGACCAATTACACCCGTCATGTGTCAAAGGTAAATTGGCAGCATTTGGGTAAACATACCTTCTAAGTAAGACACTCACGATAAAGGCTTCCAGTTTTACGTGCAGTCATGTATTACTAGTCACCTCCATGTGACTTGGCAGAGGGCAGAGTGAAATGATCTGATGATTTTATGACTGTAATTTTCAGTATATTGCAAGTGATCTTTGGACATGCATCTCCACGTGACATTGTTGAATAACAGTGTTAAATGGTTTGATGATCGTACAACAACCATTCTCAGTATACTTTATACCGCACATGATCTTTGGACATCTCCATGTATGTTGTGGGTTTATCCAGGCGGGGAATTATCTAAGTATTGAATCAGTTTTTAAGTATATTGCTAGTGAAGTTTTGACAGCATACAAAATGTTTATATTTACCTCACCACCAGCAGGGAAAATTGTCAAGTGACGCTACATCACGCACGGTTACACACACAAAATCAATCATAGAGACTATTGCCAACTTTCTCACTAGATTTAGCGACATTTCAGACCCTGTTAGGCTCCCTCTTTACTTCTAAGAAGTGATTTTATTTTATTTTTTACTTTATTTTCTTCTCCTGTAGTAAGTTTGTCATTATTCGGCTAAATTAACAACTTCAATTTGGGACAGTGGTTGTTAAGTCTGGGACAGCTGAACAGAGAATCCAAGACAGTTGTGGGGCACTGATTTTATTTAATTTAATTTTGAGCCTTGACCACCAGAGATCGCAGTTTAATTGCTTTAGTATCAAACTTTGACTAATTAAATCTGTCCAAGATATATTTCTGCATCACGGGTCATCTGAAATAGTTTTGTGGCTGTCATATGGTATCACTAAGATAGCCTTGCACTGCATTCCTTTCGAGCTATGGGTTTACTTGATTTGTTTTCACTTCAAAGAATGACATGCATAATAAGTTTTTCATAAGTTTTTTTCCATCTGGAGATCTTTACCAGAGCATAAATCTGATCATTGGCTAATGTTGTGGTACACTACAGATCTACTGTGGCCAGTTTGTAATACATCCCTAACTCTTATGGAAACAGATATGCATACACACATTTAACTATCCCCAATCTATGTATTATCCTCCACTAATTCATATCTTATTATATGAGTTAGCCATCTATACAACAGTTGTAGGATTTCACCAAGGAGTGGGTTTTGTACATTTTTTTTTTGTACTGCTCAGTATGAAACAGACATGTTTTTGCAGTTCTTTATTGGTTTATTTTTATGATTAAGCACATTGATCTCTTAATTTCCTTCTTTGTGTCTTCCAGTAACCATCATGGGCAGTTAAGAAAAATAGGCTAGTTATCTGCTGTGTGGAGGACAGAAGGTTAGTAATACCCCGGAGCATCCCTCCTCTCTTCCCACTTAGTCCAGCAAGTTTCCAGCACCATGGCTGAAGAAGAATATGGCAGCTTTGTGGACTGGAACCAGATGGGGGATCTGGCCAAGAGCAGCGGGCCCACCAAGGTAGACTGTAAAGACCTAAAAGAGTTCAAACAGATGGCTCGGCAGGGTTACTGGGCCAAAAACCACAAACTACGGGCACAAGTCTACCAGCAGCTCATCAAAGCCATTCCCTGTCGTACCGTTACCCCAGATGCAGAAGTATATCGTGACATTATGGGAAATGCAGCCACTAAGAAGCCCTCCTCACACATCCCACTTCCAGATTTTGTGGATGCAAGTCCTGTACCACGGTACTGCCTGAAGGCAGAGGCAGTAGCCTCGGCCCATCAGATTATCAACTGCGTGGCTGGACAGTTTCCAGATATCTC